AAATAAATAAATAAAATATTCTTTTTATTTCAGTTCATTTTTATTTTGTTTTTCTGCTTTTTCTATTTTGATTTATTTTTTTTGTTTTTTAATTTTATTTTCCTCTAATTTATAGATATTGTTCTTTTAAAAACAATATTTTTGTAATTCCATTTAATTTTTTAGAAACTTCTTTCACTTACTTTTTGCTTATTTATTTTTTTTTTGGGAAATAAAATTTTTTTAGTTTCATTTAACTATTTTTTTTTACTAACTTTCTTTTCATTTTTAGTCTATATTGTTTTAAAAAGAAAACATTTTTTTTATTCATTTAACTTAGGTTTTAGAAAAGTTATTGCTAAAAGACAGACAGTATAACGCTTAGACCTTCTTGATAGCAGATCTTTTATTTAATTTTCTTTTAATTTTTGAATTTTATTTTAAAAGGAAAATTATTTTTTTAATTTCAATTTAAATTTAATTTTCTTTTTTTTATTTATGTATTGTTTTCTTTTTTAATTTTATTTTCCTTTAATTTATAGATTTTGTTGTTTTAAAAATTATATTTTTAGTTTCGTTCTATTTTTTAGAAACTTGTTTTACTTATTTCTTTTCTTTTTAATTGTTTTTGTGAGAAGTATTTTTCTAATTTCAAATAATTTTTTAAAATTATTTTTTAATTAACTTTCTTTTAACTCTTAGTTTATATATTGTTTGAAAAATAAAAAACAATATATATTCAATTTAATTTTTAGAAAACTTATTGCTAAAAGGCAAACAGAATAACGCTAAGACCTCCTCGTTAGTAGATCTTTTACTTATTCGTTCGAAAGAGAGTAAAGAGCTCTTAAGATAGTTGCCAGAATTATGAATTGTCTTTCGAAAGGCAAAAGTCTGTGGTAAGTCGAAAGAGAGTTGCCATAATTGGCCTGTGAAGGGCTGTTTGCAGCTCTCGAGAAAATTGAGAATATTTTAGAAAATCGCGTTCAGGAAATAGAAAACTTCTTCTATCGAAATATCGTAAATCAGTTTACAGCTCTCAAAGAAATAATGAAAAATGTTTCTTAGAATTTTTCTTGGGAGTATCTCTAACATATCGAGGGCTTATATTCAACACGACCTTTCTGCAGTCTTCACAAAAATTACTTTTTCATGTTAGATGTTACTGTTAAAACTGATTGCAATTGTAGCTTAGAAATTCATCACGTAATTCGTCTGAAAAACGATATACAAGGTCAGCATTATCATCATCGATGACAGTTAAATCTAAGGCCGATTTTTATATAGGAATCTTATTTTGGTAAAAAACTGCAGATAGGATATGTTGAATATATGTAAGCCCTCGACATGCAGGTATAAAAAGTGTATGTATGTATAAGTCCCGTATGTATGTAAGTATGCAAGTATGTTCAACTTACCCTAACTCTAGCTTCGGTCAAATTTGTCCACATAGCAATCTCTTCGCGTGTCGACATATCCGGATAGCGATTGCGGCTAAATGTGTGCTCCAGCTCCTGCAGTTGTTGCGATGTGAAATGTGTACGTTGGCGGCGTTGACGCTTGTTTTTCTTATCGTTTTTCGGCTCATCTGTTGTGGTTGTCATCGGTTCGTCATGACCGGAATTTGATATGTTTTCAGTTTTGATTGTGGTCTCATTGACTGTAGATAAAGCAATAACAAGAGGAAGCAAATTATTAGAAAAAAGAATTGGAAAAACACATGTTAGTAAATAAGAGAAAGCAAATAAACAAGTTGTATGAGAAAAGATAATCATTGGGATTGTATGAATGCATTGGTACTTATGGACACACAAAGTTGCGCTTGCAGAACACTCGACTGCACAAACACGCAAATACACACGCTCACTCTCAACTCAGGTACATACATACATACATACACACATATGAAATAATTTGTTTACTTAATAGCTGAAATACAATGCCGGCGAACGGCGAACTCACCACAGCGAAATTCGCGCTGTCAAAATTAGAACACCCGCAAGCATATGAAATTGAACACAGCCAAAGCGAAATGCGAAGTTCGCTTGGCGGCGTTTCATGGCGATAGATTTATTTCTATCGCTCTGCTGGGCGATGACAGCTGTGCGTGCCAAAGGTGGCCGTATTTGTTTTGTGCTTTCAAAGTTTAAAAAGAAAACAACCTAAACACGATTTTTTTTTTGTTGTTTGAAAAATATAGTTGTGGATTCGTTAAATCTGGCTTGAAACAAATTATTTATAATAATCTTTCTTTGTTTTACATTTATATTTGTTATCATTTCCTCATTTCTAAATATGGTTTAGTTTTTTCTAAATATGGTCACCCAAATTATAAAGGCGACCAAATGGGATCAGCTGTTTTCGCTACCGCTCTAATTCTGTTTAAGAATGCGAAATAGTTGGGCGAACGGTGAACGACAGCATCGCCCAATTCGGCGAAGTTTGCCGTTCGCCGGTATTGTATTTCAAGCATAAAATTGTACAAATTGTTATTAGTTTAAGTGTACAAATCGATTACATGTGTTTTTTCTCGAACAGCAATAATGTAGAGCAATGCAAAGTACATACATATTTTCACTGCGATTGTAATTTGTACTATGTGTGCAAGTGTATGCACACAGATATGTAGTTTCCCGAGCCACTCACTCGCCTGCACGTTCATGAGACGCTTGCTTGTCAAACAAAACTCTATAACAACAACTAAGTACATACATAATAAGCAAACAGTAACAACCACAACAACAATTACCAGCAACTAAATAATAAGGTAAATCATAAATCGTTGTAATGACAACGCTAATAGCTGTATGTCTCCGTCTTTGATTTAAGTGTTGTTTTTACAAGACTGTAACTGCATATTATCGGCGCCTTCCGCATCGTGGCGAGGTGAGAAGAAATTAAATCGATTTATAGAAAAAATCAGCGCTGTTGACGCTGGCTTTGGCGACAGCAGTTATCACCGTACTTTATTGACATTCATATGAGTTCAGGGCAAGAATGATACAATACAAGATTGCGCCCATCAGAGAGGATTTTTGAGAATAACTTTTGTGTGACGTCACACTGGTGCAATTGCGAGAGAGAAATGCCAAAACGTGAGCAAGAATGGAAGAAGAAGAAAAAATGTTGCAAGGAAAACGTAAACAAGTTGCACAAGTGTGACGTCATACAAATAACGATTCTGTCAAATTTACTCAATCGTGAGTTCAGGGTATCCTATGAAGAATTAATGGGCTTTCTACAGGAACGCGGAAGCGGGAAGTTTAATAGCAAAAAGTACCAATCCGAAAGATATACCCAACCGACAACAGTATTGATAGAATAAAGCTCTATTCTGTATAAATTCTAGGTGGATAACACGAATTAGGATTATCAAATAACGGAAATTGACTTGAACCGAATCTTCGAAGTTGACCTTCCCGACAGTAGCGTTCTAAGCGATGATGAGATCCCGGTCTTTATAGGTGGCTCCAAACTGAACATCGGAACAGGTAGGCGCAGTAACCTAAGCTACTTTCTCGGAGCGTGGTTTATATACACTGAGATTAATGCAGTGCCCTCCAGGCTGAGATCTATATACCACGCCCGCCAGAAAGGAAATGTGGGGGGAAATATGCATAAAAATTTGCCATCGTTTAGTTTAAGATAATAATGGTAAAAAATAGTATAAGATCTCAAATATTTAAGATATCTTTCAGAGATAGTAGTCGAGAAATCTAACTTTAATTTAAGCCAGGAACGTTTTATCAAGATTTGTTTTGCTTTGCTAGAGCTTCTAAAATAATGCAAAAATCGCGATTTTTTGACACTTTCACCTCGTTTCTCTGAAGATCACGTGACCTGCGAAAAATTTTTAAAATCGGATAACAGAAAGACGTGCATCAAATGCCATAAAGTTCAGCAAGTTCATGGGATTTTTCACACAGCGGGCAATATTTTCCCTTAAATTCAGTGGGAAATTTAATATATTTTAATGGCACTCGTTATTCGGTGGTTTTTGGGGACGCTGATTACGAATTTCAAATTAGATCAGAGGAATTCAAAACGACGGATCCAATATGACGGACGATTTTTTTAAGTTCACTGGATATACATGGAACTCGTTACTCCGAGGTTTTTAGCGTGGATGATTGCGCAACCGATGTCAGCTTTTGAAAATTCCAAATGACGAATCAAAAGTTTAATCAGGTGATAACTGTGTTTTAAATATTTTCATACTAAACCGTTCTTAAACCTCTTTCATCTGACGTCCCTGTAGTGGTACAAATTTCAATTACCTTATGTTCTTAATTCATGTCGAATTAAATTTTTTGAAAAGGTGGTAACACTCCTACATCTGCTTTAGAAGTACAACCTTTTCAAAATCATCTCGATGGATCCCGTATTGTAATAATTCTATTAAATTAATTTAAATTGATTTTTTAACAGGTGACAGCCCCTTTAATACCCTAACCTATATATAAACCTTCTTCTTGCCAAGACAAACCCGTTGTTATGTGTCTTTTCATAATCGAACCACGACAACATAAAGTCTGTGAGATGATAAGGACATTTAAAGTCCTGAAGTAGTCAAATACATGGGCAGCTGATTTTACTTTCATCTAATAGTAAAGAGTGCATATAACACATACTGGTATGTGTATAATACTCCGGGCGTAGATGTGTTGAGCTTTGTTTGTAGGCCTCTTAACCCTTTGATGTCCCCTCTATTTTATTTTGTTTGACTCTTTTAGGTGTTGTTAAGAAAATGGTAACAGTAGGATTTGCCTTTTATATTTCGTTTAAGACATATCGCAAACGATCTTCAAAAGTGACACAACGCAAAATTTCACGTTCGTCAGAAAATGAGAAAAACTATTATTTATCACATGCTAATTTATGGGCAAGGAAAACTTTACCCTAGGGGTTTTCAACAAATTATTACAAAAATTTGCTCAAGCTTTTGTTGACAGGTTAATAAAAGCTCTATGTACATTTTTAGTGTATAATGTCAAAAATGCCAAATTTTGAGTTGTGTCACTTCTGAAGATCGTGTGCGATATATGTAATACATATAAAGCTCCTTAAATATTGTCAAAATTATTCACATACATAAATCAAACTTTCATTAAAATCAGTCAGGAATATACACTACATTCTAACCATAAAAGAACTTCTTCGAGTTTCAGTTTTTCGAAGCCCCCGTGCAATTAGCTAATCGGAAGTAATATGAAAACAATGGTTTTCAAAATCTTAAACTTTTGGAATTCTTTCTGCCCAGGAACCAGAGTGCGTCGCAGTCGAGTTGTTGGAAATGGAGGGAAGCCGGGGTCGAATGACTCTGCACATTTAGAGTAATCGCGACAAAAAAAAAAAAAAACTACAACTCCAAGTACGACGTTTATGAACAAATAATTGAAACTAAGTTCAGAAAATTGATAAAACAAATAAAGGTTGCTATCGCAACCCCTTCAAATGAGTTCAGCAAAAAACAAAAACGAATATCAAACGTTGCCGCTACCTAAATCACCACCCGCTCGAACCAGCTCCACACAAATAAGTATTCAACAAATATACGATCGATCATTCGCTTCTCCACGGTGGCGTTGGGTGCTGTCTCGGCTCCACACGTTATACTTCCAGTACATAGAATACGTACCGCAACAACAAATTCACAGTAATCAACTAAACTAAATGCGCTTAACAACAACAACAACAACAACAATAGCAAATAGCAAATAACCAATAACTAAATAAATTAATGTACCTAAATGAAATAAATATTACCAGTCCAGCCGGTCATACTAATAACATAAATATGTACGTATTTAGTTTGTATGTTGGAAATCAAAGTCAAAATCAAAGGCATTTTTGCCGACAAAGGATTTTGATTTTTTGGTAATGGTAAGTACATAAGTATTAATGCGACCTGGCTACTGTGCTTTAATGTGTTGCATGAAATTGTTATAAATTATAAATTTTATCTCGAAATATTTTTGGCAGTGATAAGCAAATGCAAACAAACCAATACAAGTACGCCGTTACATTTATCTGTATAAAAAAAGGTCGAAAACCTATTCATGTACGATTTGTATGTATGCACGGACATTTGTGTATGAAGCTTTTACTGGCATTATATTTAGTTTTAATGTGATTACTTGCTTTTCTATTCATAAGGTTGAATACATATGTACATACATATATATGTAGTATATAGTATATTTTATTATTGCAGTTGCTGTATATTGTATGGCTTAACTCGTTTTATTCGTTAAATAAATGGGTGTTGACTGTTTGGTCGGTTTATTTTGGTAGCAATACGTGATAACGAAATTTTACACTTCAGCGAGCGGTTTGCAAAAATTTGCTGATAGCCGATTGCCGTTGGTATTTTGAGTTTGGTGAATAATCGATTTGCCGACGGATATCTGAAATTCATGAAAACACTCAGAAAAAAGTCAGCTAAATATATTTCGCTCAACACATGATTTGGTAACTATCACCAAATAAAGTAACTATATTATAGGGACATTCCAAATTGACGGGGGGACAATTTAACTCGTTTTTGCTAAAACTTTAAGGCATTTCTCTCTAACCATTAATACAACGAGTCTCAAAATGTCAACACTTGAAGTCAAACATCAGATTATTATGAAACTAATAAAGGATAAAATTTAATTATACAATTTACAAAGAAAATTTACATTTTCCAGGAGTGACGGTGAGATACTATAAATATTTTTAGCGCCTTTCTCACATGGAGCTAGTAGAATCTTAAGATCCATTTCATGCTTTGATGGCATTATTATAATTGAAAATTAATATTTTTTTTTGTTTTTTTGTGACGTGTGGGCTGAGTCACTATTGAGGACAGATGGTTCGTGAGTAAAATGACCTCCACTGGTTTCTTTCTCGTAATAGAATTTCAGTGTCCATTTTTGGCTGTCATGGCATTATTAAGTTTGGAAATTAAAAAAAAAAGGATTTTCGCTTATTTTTGTTTGTTTTGTCTACTGGTTTGATATGAATATTTATTATACTTTTAACAAAAGGAAGCTTACGTATTTGCAAGCAAGGTTAAAAAAAGAAAACTAGTTTCGCTGAGTAGTATGGACATCCAAAAGGCATTATATACCTAATAAAAAAGCTGACAACATTTCACCATAAATCTACTTTTGCAATAATATAGCACTGCTTTAAAGTCCATGAGTTGTATGTACTTTCTTTATAGGTAATTATTATTTCCATTGTCACCTTCAATAGACAAGAAATGCCTTGAGAACTTGATAAGAGAATACTATATCAGAGATAGTCGCACTACGGTTGTGTTTATAAAAGTAAAAATAAAGAAAATAATAAAACATAGATCTATAAAAACGATTTCTAAAGAATTATTCTATATGATCTACAGTTCTCAGATTTAAATGCAATATATTAAATAAATTTTTTGACCTGTGGTGTCATCTTCGCTGGAATGGCCCTATAACCAAATCATTAGTGATGTGCTGTGTCGATACTTTTATGTATCGATCGATACTCGGTACCTATTTAAAAAATATCCAACACTTTCGGTACTCGGTAGCGAAATGTTAAGGCTTCCAATAAGAACGCACATATGTAAATACTATTAAAACCAGAGATCGCATTTTTTGATTTTCCAAGCTCATGTAATTGGGCTTCAAAATGCTGCTTGCTGCGACGGCGACACATGTATACTATCCAGGGCTGCAAACCACTCCAAAAATCGGTGTGGTTCGGTTCAGTGGTTCGAACCACTTAGAAAAAGCTTGTACCGGTTCAAGAACCGGTTCACGAGTATCTCTGAACCATGGTTCGGTTCGGTTGAAATGGTTCAATTTAAGCTAAAGGGTACAAATATTGCAAAGATATGACAAATCCATAATATGAATATTAATGGCTTTGTTACTGAGATCAAAATTCAAATACCCACATATATAGTGTAGGGATGGGTAAAATCGATATTCGAAGCTTCGAGATTCGAGTTAAATCGAATTTTAGTTCCAAAATGGCGAAGTCTCGAAATCGAACTTGAGGTGCTAAAATTCGGACAAAATCGATTTTTTCTAGAAAAAAATCGAATTTCGCGTTTATTTTCAAAAAGAGCTAAACTAAATTTGGCATAACTGTGTGTAGCAAGCAATCGAATTTCAACCCCTCCCCTACCTATCCCTAGTATAGTGGTGGGAAATTAAATAGAGACACGACATTTTATCAAGTTTTGGCAATTTTTCTTTTGTTTATTTATGTCTATTTTTTAACCATATAAGTCCAAGTTTTAAACTTTGTGAAAAAATTATAAATATTCTGCACAGTTTCATCTAAATTGCAAATATTTTAATAAGAATTTCTAGGGAAAGTTTTTAAGTTTCAAGTTGATTTTTGACAAATTTAAATTTTTTTTTTTTCATTTTTAAATTTTTTGTATGGAAGAAAATGCATAATACCTTCAACAAAAAAATTATTTAAAATCAAGGCGATTAAGGCGAAATTAGACAAATTTTAATAAACTTTTTAAGGTTTGGACAAACGGTGAGCCTAGCTAGTCGGGTAGACAAAACAGCATAATCAGAATTTGGAATTGATCATCAAAATCTTGGCTTAATATTGACACCCTGATTTTCAATAGGTTGGAGCTTACACTATTTGGGCCTCAACTTCATATGTACAAGTATACCTATGGTCGAAATAATATGAGTGCGGCATTTGCCTATTTTTCTTTTGTTGGTTTAATGTATAGCTCGTTATATAATAAAAAATCGTAAGAATTTTTTCTCAAACTTTATATATGTATATATCTCATTACTTTAAACAATCGATTCTTGTAAATATGTATGTATATATGTATATCCAAGGGTTTCTAGGAAACTATTCCAACGATTTTGATGGAATGTATTGGATGGTATTCAGATAATGTTTTTAATTTTAAGGGTATCTGGAGATATTTGTACAAAGCTGCCACGTATACCAAATTATTTATAATTATTAATTCTAAGAAGCCACAAAAGATGCACTAAAAAATTAAAGTTAAAACACATTTCAAATAAAAAAAACTACTATAGTTAGTTCGATGAGTGTATGAAATGTCTGCGTGTTTGATAAGGTGCAAATTTTTTCAATAAAACTCAACATAATGGTTGGTCGATATAGTGTTTTTTCTAATCATATGTTATTTTGAATTTGATTTTTTAAACAGGTAGCAATCCTACTAAATATAGTTAGAAATTAAGCCCTTTCAAAGCCATTTGGAAGATACCCTTAGAGTAGTAATTCTTTGAAATTAATTGAATTAAAGTTGAATTTAATTTTTAAACAGGCGGTTATCCTTCCACATGTTGTTTGGAAATAAAGCCTTTTCAAAACTATCTCGATTGATTTACTAAATTAGTAATTCATTTCACTTAATTGCATTTAATTTTTTAGCAGGTGGCAACCCTTTTTATGTTCTAACCTAGATATAAACCTTCTTCTCGCTGATACGAATACATATGTAGGTATCAATGTTTCTACAATCGGACCTCGATAACATGGAGTCTATTAAAAATTTCCATATTTGTGCATAGTTTTTGTTGCAATCTGTTCAATTGGAGTTGTTTTCATATTTTGTTTTACTTCGTATATGAAATTAAACTTTGAAATAGAGATAAATGTGATGATGAAGAAATAATTGGTAAAAAAGTGAAGGCAAAATTGAAGTTAAAAACGCAAATGAAAACAATGAGAACTATATAAAAATTAAAGAAATTTTTTTGAAACAAATCCTGTCACCAAAAATCCAGTTATAAAATTATTGAAATTTATCGAATCATCGAATTTTATAGTTATGGAAATTTATCGCGCTAACCATGTTTGATATTCAAATTGATCATCGCTGAGTTGTCGAAATTTAAAACTAACTATCGAGTTATAAAAATTTCTTGGAATTTATCAAGCTATCGGTTTTTGTTTAGTTACCATTATTAATGAAGTTAAGGAAACATATCCAGGTTTTCGCAATGTATCAAGTTCTTTCAACTTATCGAGTTATCGATAATTATTGATTAATCGAAATTGGCCGATTTATCGAATCGAAGTTTTTTCAATTTTCAAAGTACATATATCAAGTTATCGAAAGTTCAAAGGATATATGTATAAGTAAAACGAGTTTTATATTTTTATCGGTTTATCGAGTTACCAGAGTGTAAGGAGTTATCGAAATCCGTCGATAAATATCGAAATATGGATATTAACCGGGTTATCGAAATTTATAGAGTTTATTGAGTTATTCATAACCCAACTTGCGTCTTCGAAACGCAAAGTTATCGATAGTTACCGAAATTCTTAAAGTTATCGAGTTTAATTGAGTTAACGAGCTTAATTGAGTTATCGAATTTTAGTGTTTTGGAAATTCATCGAGTCAATTTCAAGTTCTGCCAAAGTCCTTTAAAGGTATAAAAACTGGTAGTCACGTTTTAGTTCCAAAGCAAAAGATTTTCCGGTAAGTCATTTGTTACCTTATAAGTTAAAGAACGTGCTCAGTTTGAAGAAATCTCTTAAGGAGAAGAGAAACTCTTAAAAACTAGAAAACAGTCGAATTTTGACAGTAACTGGCACTCCTAGTTTACAAAAAACTACTCATTTGGAGTGCAGAAGTTATTGAAATTAAAGAGTATTAAAAGGGAATTGAATGAGTTAAATAGAGACGGTCTGAAGACCGACAAAAGTTAAATGGCACTTAAATAAGAACTCAATATTAAGGTTAAATGCCATTAACTTTTTGATCTAAAATTGGTCTTAGCTAGACATAATAGAAGCTTGATAAAAGTATGACATTTTTTAAGGAAAATGTATTCTTTTTTAATCCAAAGCCAAGCCTTATGAAGTCACTTAACACTTTCGATCCTACTTTTGCAGCATGTAAGAATAAACATAATATCTAATTGTTGGAAGTGGAAAGATGCCAATGATAAATATGTAAGAATCCAAAAAAAATTTTAACTCTTATTTACAACGATCGTCATTGATGTTTTGAGCTGGGACACATTGGGTCCCAATACAGTTGTATAGTGGAAAAAATTTGACATATCCATATTTTTCACATATGTACTTGAAAATTTCTATTTTATGTGAAACGATTAAGTTGTTTTTATTACAAAAGTTTCAGACACTTTAAACTTACCATCCTTGCGATCCCGATTTCGATTCGACAACGCTGACGATGATGATGCTTGAAAATTATTTAAATGTGTACTATCCAAACTATTTGCTACAGCGGTCATTGAACTATGACTATCACGAAAATCGCCAGTCTCGGCCCAAACTGAAAAGAATAAACCAGAGTAGAGAAAAAAATATACAAAAAATTAATGTTTTAAGAAAAGTTTTTAAAATACAAATACACATTGAGTTGCAAATCTTTAACCAGTAATATGGCAATAAAAAAATTACAAAAATATTTATTTTTTACTTTTCAAAAAGTAGATATGTATGACGTGTAGAGCCAAAGGAAAAATGAAATTCGACCAGCCAGCCGCTCGATTCGCAAGCGCATTTATGGATGGCCATTATAGTTCAGACCATTAAAAAGCGCATTAATGTTGTAAGTAGGTGCACTTGGCCCGGCCAGCAAATACATATAGCTGCATAATTGAGCGGGAGTGTGCCACAAGAGGCTGCTTAAAAGGCGATAAAATGGATCATAAAAGGATTTATGGGGCATTTACAAGCAGCATAACGAATAGAATACGTACAATGTGTTTTAAGAAGCGAGATATGTATATACATTTGTTTTTGTAGCTATGCATGGATGTAGAGATGTTTGGATTTTGTGGTGAGAAGTATGAGTGGAAAGAAATTGAGAAATGGAGTAATTGAAGAAATTGAGGAGAGTAGCGAGGCGCTGAGTGTCGATGAAGTTATGATTGTGTTCATATTTTTGCAATAACTCAGAATGTTATAACTTTACAGCGCTCGCTGGCAGCTCAATGCTTAAACTACATACTGTACATTGTAACTATTTTTGTACGTAAGTACATATGAATATACTGCAAGGATGTATCAACTCCTGTACAATACATCCTTGTGCGATACTTCTTCTACTTAATACAACTTTATAAAAAAAAGTCGCGGCACATCACACATTTACTAAGTGCTTGGCGAAGCTTCTCCGCCGATTTGTAGTATGGATCTTGATGTTCTCAAGGGACTAGAACTTTACGCCGCCTCTGAACAGCTGATTGCTTTTTATGGCACAAATACCGTCGGAGGCGTGTTGTGGAATTTGATGTTGTGATGCTTTCCACGGCTAGGCAAAGCATTAGGCGGTTCAGTTACATACAGAAATATATTAGGTTACAAATTGAACATTACACGACATTTCCATAACCACTTCGGGAATAGGTCAGGTGAATTTCAGGATCATGTCGTGACTAATTCCCGAACTACCCCGAAATGATCCCGAACTAGACCCAAAATTGTTCTGAAGTGATTTTGAAAAAATTGTTAACTTATCCCGAAAGAATTTCGAATAAGTCTTGAAATCTCGAGATGGTCCATTACTATATAGTCCCAAACTATCCCGAACTAGTGCCGAAAGGTTCCTGAAGCAGTCCCGAAATGGCCCTGAACTAGGCCGGAAATAGTTCTGAACAAGTCTCAAATGGTCACGAATGGGTCCCGAAATGATAATTAAATAGATGTGAATTAGTCCCGAAATAGCTTAAAAACGGTTACGAAACATTTTTTAACAGGTCCCGAAATGATCTCGAACTTGTCGCGAAATGGTTTTGAAATAGTCCTGAATTGGCTCCGAAACGGTCGAGAAAGTCGTAAGCTTATGCCGAAAGGATTTAGAAAAAGTCTCGAAACGTCCCAAAATGATCCCGAACTAGTTCAAAAAGGGTTCTAAATTGGACTGAACTAGTGCCCCCAAATGGACCTGGACTAGCCCCAAATGATCACGAACTAGTCTCGAAATGTTGATGAAATGAACTACTAAGTCTCGAATCGTTCCAGAATTGCTGCCACAGTGGCCCTCAAATAGTCGTGAACTATTCCAGATTTGTGCTGAAATAGTCCCAAACAGGTCCCGAAATGATTCCGAACTAGTCCAGAAAGGGGCTTAAAGTAGTCGTGAACTAGTCCCAAAATGGGCCTGAATTAGTCCAGATACATATGTTTATTTGTTGAAACAAACAGCCATTAGAGATCTTCTGCTGGGTTACACAAGAAGCAGTTACAAATTTTCTGCTGGGATAGCTCAAATTTTATCCATGTCAAGAGCTATTATGTTCACACATCGAACCTTGGACCTACCGGGGGTAGTCAGTATAATTTTATACTATACGACTCCTTTTCATGAAAATTGGGCATAGCAACAGCTAATATAATGAGCTTTGAAAGCTGACTCAAAGGGAAGCCTTCCTATGGCCCTTGTATTTCTCAGGTGACTACGTAAATTAAATTTTAATCATGTTTTATTCAATAAGCAACGCCATAAATTATGCTTGGTCAGGCCATTTTTAGTTTCTGAGCAATTTTTCTATCCATTAACGTCCATATCTGCATGCGTACATACATTTCCCAGGAACACCTTATAATTTCTTTTCCGCCCACCGTTAAATGAGCCATATCGCTTAACGACCTTTGCGGTTACGCTTGGCACCTAGACAATTAACAAATTATCAATTGACAAACACTAAATTTATCGATTCGCCCACAATTTATTGCTTATAAAATAATGCACATGGCTAAAAAGATATTTATATGGCAAGCGTTTGAAAAACTCCCATGAAAGTCAAAAATGCCAAACCAACAAATTTCTCTATTCTCCCTCTCCCAACAACCATAGCACTGAATGTCTTCTTACGAAATATTCAAGTGCATTTTAAAATTTATTGCTTTTCCACATGTTGTCGTTCAGCTTGTTGCAACAGCGTCAATTTCCACGCAGTCAACGGCGGAAAAACAAATTTTCAGCAATTTGTTACAAATTTGTGTGAAATTAGCTGTTGCGTTCTTTGCACATACTTTCAGTTCTCCTTTAAACAGACTTCTGGTTGTGATTTGGTGGTACTTGTAGACATTGTAGGTGGTTACCGCTGCTCCTGTGAAACGGGTGTCATTAATGTCACTTTGGCATGTGTCACTAAATTAACCACAGATTCACAACTGTTCGAGTACAGACATATTTGTATACATACTTACTTATTAGTATGTAACTATGCACATTAGGATGGTCCTTAAATGTAGGAAGCAAATTTTTGCATCAGATTTCCTAAGCCTCAATCCCTGCGTCGATGTCACTATAGTCGAAGATATCACATACATATGTACAAATTTTGGCCCTGATTGGAGTCGGTTAAGGCGTGTCGCACGGGGGGCAAAGTTCAGATTCCTCTATGGAGACTCAAAATATTAAAATTATTATTTTTTCACCTAATACCAAAAATCGATGCTACTATAGTCGAAGATATCACATATGTATAAATTTTGGCCCCGATTGGAGTCTCTTAAGGCGTGTCGCATGGGGATCCCACTTCAGATTACCCTATGAAAACGTCTTAACCGACTGCAATCGGAACCAAAATTTATATATGATACCTTCGACTTTAGTAGTATCACTTTTGGGTATTAAATGAAGAAAATATTTTTAATTTCTTGGGTCTCCATAGAGGCTTCTTGCCCTTGACCCCTTTCTGACACGCCTTAACCAACTCCAATCGGAGCCAAAATTTATATGTGATACCTGTGATTGTGGTATTACCGATTGAGGGGGTGAGACTGAAAAAAATTGTTCATTTGATCTTTGTGGACCACCCTAATGTACATACATACATATGTATGAATATGTGAACAAGCTAAGGTACGAATTGAACGCATGTAGAACAAATGGTTTTCGCTTTTTCCCTCGTTTTTCTCCTTTGGAGTGCAAGTGGTTTATGTCAGTGATTTTCTTCTGTGTTGAAATTTAAAATTTATGCCAATGACAATGTGGACACACGCTGTTGTATGGAAGTGTTTTGTTACAATAGCTAATAAAAAGATGAAAGGATATATGGAAGAGCAAAATGTTCGAGCATGAAAATGTCCTAAATCTGCCACAAAAAATATGTCAAAGTCCTTCTCTAGATTTAAGCACACACACATACATAACTGTAGTCCTTGAGGTGTATGTATATATTCGTAAATATCGCCCAATTGCAAAACCGCCTATATTACGGCACTCAAATGTTACAGGAGCAATGCCCTGATAGGCGGTATTTTCTCTAACTATTATATTACAAATCTTTTGTTTTAATAACGATTTAACTATTTTTATGCATAAATCTCGATGCCTGGAGTTCAGGGTTACCAAATCTCATTTTTGCCACAACTGCGATTTAGGTGGTTTTGCAACTGGTCGATGGGCGGTTTTGCAAGAACATCGACGATATGCAGATAGAGGGCCCACAGACACCAGGCCATCAATTAGGACAGCAAATGGTAACTAAACTGTGCACCGTGCACTGGCCCTACACTCTGCCCACTTTACTGACGCCACTCCCATTTAACCAAGGAAAATCCTTCCTCATCCGACTGAAAACTGACACAAAAAAACAATTCACCCGACGATCAATCCGATGATCGTTGGACCAGAGCTAATTCTACAAGTCACCTGGGGTAGTTGGCATCAGCCCAGTGCTCTCGGAGAAGGGTAGGGAGCAGTTAATACTACAAGGGGCACCAGCTGCCAGAGGTGTGCGGCTGTAATAATTATAATTTCCAGAAAGAAGTTCGACAGCATCTTTCCCACATTTTACAAAGAGAACTTAACTTAACGAAGGGATAGTGCGCCAGATTGGTCCTTAATCTCAATCACTCTAGGAAGGCTATCGTCCCCTTTAACAGAAGAAGAAATATTCCAGCTTTGGGGAACATAACAGTGAATAAGGTCGTAGTCGTAGATCCCACTGAGGTCAAGGAAGTATCTTGGGAACTAAGCTTCTGTGGAAGGCTAACGTTGATGCAACTAGATCAAAAACCACTAGGGCGCTAATGGTTTACAATCATATAGCAGGAAAGTCCTGCGGGTGTAAGCCAAAGATCGTAAGACGGATGGATGTACTCTATGATAATACGGCGTATGGGGTGACCCCGACCTCTAACCATGGCAGTCAAGCGAGATTCCCTGAACTTTACAAAAATGTTTTCGACAGGGGAATGGTCTTATCATCCTAGAATATCTAGAAACTAGGAACCAAATTCCAACTAAACCTTTTGTCCCCAGAGATGATGTGAACAAGTTAGTTGTATTCGAGAAGAAATTTAAAATAGAGCTCTGCAGCAAAGCAACATAGAGTAGCTCCATTATGGAGGTAATTGTACAGGCAAGCACTATGGCACCACATAAGGCATTGGGCTAA